AACTAGACAGGTGAAAATCATGCCTATTGCGATACCCTGCTGGGAGGAGGGAGATACTGAGAATATCAAGTAACAAAACAGTAGAATTTTATCGTAGGCGGCCTCTCCAGACATCTGTTTTGCTCCTTGAGCTAATATACACTTCTTACAGATCCTTTTAGTGACACCGTAGAGTTCACTAACAGGAGGATCGAATCAGCGTCTTTGCGAGCACGCGTGCAGTGCGTTTAGTTTAGAAACTACCCGGGAGTAGGGGGTACTCCCTTATATGGGCTATGGGTATGTGCCACCCTACAAGGTATGGTTTTTCAGCCGTTTTGGTCATAAATAAGGTATTAATTTTAGCTGATTTTGGCCATTTTGGTAATAAATAGGGTATGGTTTTTGCACTCTAGCCTTGATATGGGTATGCTTTTAAGAAGCCACTTTTTCATCATTATCGAAAAGAAAATCAACAAAAGCCCTTCACAAATTATGTTTGCGGTAATTTAACATTGGTCTAAACTAGGGAACTTATTATATCGCAGGTCAGAAACAGGGGTTTGATTTAAGAGTCAGGTCATAAATAGGATTTCAAATTTTTGGTCATAAATAGGGTAGGGAATATCGGAGATTTTGGTCATAAATAGGGCAAGGGTTTTGGGAAGCGGGCCGCACACCCCCACCAAATTTTTCTGGGAGTACCCCCGACTCCCGGGAGAAACTACAAATGACGAGCAATGAGCACTTCGTAAATTTTCCGCTAGCCTAAATCTCTCCTTTATTAGAAGGCAACGTTGTTTTGCAACACGCATTTCGAGTTTCGGATTCTATGATCGGAAAACTGGTTTCAAGCTGATTGACTGAAAAAGATTCAACGCAATGAAAATTCATTCGGAGGCTTCTAGGGTCTAACCAATGGCAGCCATACAGATCTGACAAGCTCTGAAGGTCGATTAGTAATAGTAATATTCCTCATGTCTCATGTCTCTAAGTTACTTTCTACCTTTGCGGGTGCCTTTCGTGAAGAATTCTTACGCACGTGGACGTCAGTTTCAATAAGTAATGGTAATAGGACTGAGTGGAGTCCAACTCGGTCTGTCATCATGAGAGTGATAACAAAATCGGACGACCGAGCAGCGGGAGCCCGATTTGTTTATCACGAGTATGATTACAGACCGAATTGGACGACACGAGGTCTTATTACCAATTAATCATAAAAATTACAATTTTCGAGAAAAGAAGAATAGCCAAGTTGTGAAAGAAAGGGAAAATTTGCATTAAGATACCTAGAAAGGAGATGTAAACATTCTAAGGCCACCGCACCTCCTACCGGCAATTAGGCGCCAAAAACACAAAAGCAAGCGCGCGCATCCACGTACGAACGTAACTACAACTTTGAATGTGATTGGCTTGTTGAACTGTCCGATAAAAAAACTGTCCAATAACAAACTGTCCGATAACAACTTGGCAAGTGAATTAGGGGAAAAAAGGAGTTTTCTAAACCAATCACAATCGAGGAAATTGTAATTTTTATGGTTAAACGAGGAAGCATGTTTCCAGAATTAATGTTTCCAGAAGCATTCATAGTGCGCGCATGTCTTCCTAACGTTTCCCAGTTTCACAAAACTGGAAACATTGTTTCCAGCGTCAATTTTGGCTCCAAGATGCAAATCATGCTTCCGCTACACGACAGAGAATTTTAACAAGAACCCGAGCATGCGAGGTTTTTTTTGCTTTATTTTTTAAATCCGTTTAATGCCATTAATTTTAAAAGCGTGGGTATCCTGCTTGCGCAGTGCATATCATGCTTTGACGAAGAAGTTTCATTTCGTATCCCGCCTCGAAATTAAGCCCATCCAGAATTCAACCAAAAACCTGCGTAATATGTCATCCCTTTCCTCGGAGTTTCAGGAAAGTCGTCGAGTGTTCCGTAGTTTTCACTTTCGACCCTTTTTAATGCGAACATCACAGTGGTAAGTACAACTTATCTCTTATTTTTTGGCTTTATGTGACATCCTGTTACAATTGAAATGGGGAAGGATAGCATTGATCAAATCGTGAAAACCATTTGATGTAGTGACTGACACATATAATAAATTT